CTAAGCTTAAAAAGAGTGAGGCACTCTCAGTGGAAAGAGAGAGGGAGATCCAACAGGTAAGGGAAGATCTAATCACGAGTTTTGATCGACACTGATGTGATAATTCTTTCAAAGTTAGCAAACTTTCCTGTCTTTCTACAGGTGGTTGAATCTGTAAACGAGCTTGCTCAGATTATGAAGGATCTATCCGTTCTCGTGATAGACCAGGTTAGATCCCTCTATTGACTTTCAACAGTCTTCTTATGTTAAGAAAACAAAGAACAATATTTGATATTTCGAACAGAATTCAGAATCATTGATCAAACTTCTTTCCACAAACAGGGCACTGTTGTTGATAGGATAGACTACAATATTCAGAATGTCGCAACAACAGTTGAGGAGGGTCTCAAGCAACTGCAGAAGGTCCTTTCATGATCCCCAAATATGATTTTACATCCTTTTCGTTATATTAACCATATGTGATATTACTATTGCTAGAAACTTTTTGTATATGTTTCCTCACTCATTTTTCAGCAATATTGTTGGCATTGTTTGGGCTTTATAGGCTGAGAGAACACAGAAACAAGGGGGGATGGTGATGTGTGCTTCCGTTCTCGTAATCATGTGCTTCGTCATGTTGGTTCTCCTAATCATAAAGGAGATAATCTTGTGATCATCGCTGAGAATTATTTGAATTTTTCGATAGAGTCTAATGTTGAAAGCCTCCCACTGGGACTATTACACCCACGAAGATTGTGGCTTTGACCCTTGATGAGGATTACCGGAGTTGTGAGGCGCCATAGCTACAGAATTTTTGTTTATTTTCCCTTTCTGTTTTCACTTCAAGGGACAGCTATTCAAAAAGAGAGACCAAGTTCCACCAGACTCTGTCACACAACTACATATACTACTCATAAAGTGACTATCATTTCTTGTTCATTTTCGTTAGGAAAACTGTGGGAGGGGAAACGTGATTGACTGGGAATGATTGTCCTGGGATTTGTGTAGAGCCTATTCTTGGATGTCGTTCTTTGGCCCACTGGTATTTGCTAAGGAACCATTGGTTGATTTTCTGATTTTCTTTTGCCCGGGATTTTGGTGCTGTCGTTTCTCAGCAGACACGTACGAGATGACCTTTTTGTTTTATTTCTGTATCGATTCCATTATTATACAATAAAATGAAATTATGAAACGCATACATTTTGCTTTTAAGAAATTTTGCAGATTCTAGTTACCCTCGTATAGGAGTTTCTTAGGCGGAAAATCTATTAGATTGTATAGATCCAGGGTTTTTTTATTAATATGACAATGTGGAACCTCCATGCAACGAGCTTTCGTAGCTCAGTTGGTTAGAGCAC